CTCTTTATCTGAGAGAAGGCCTGACGGTCAAACTGAGACTCAGCCTTGGCTTTGTACACTTTGCGCATCTCCCAGGAGCTGCCAGACCAAGTCCTTGTCTGAGGGTCCGAGGGGCACAACTTGGTCCAACAGTCCATTGTTTCAGTCTTATGCTCTTTCCATGATAGCCAAACCCAGAGGGAGCAGTAACAGGACTCACAAGCAGAGACCACAGCCACATCTTCAGCTCTTCTGGAAGTGCCCGGATATGCCAGAGAAGGAGTGCCATGCTGAAACTGGTTAAAAGCCTCAGACCTGGGGTTGTGCTGCCCATGGCAGCCTTGCCTCCCACGAGAGAGCCCAGAGAGCATCGGCAACAGGCACCAAGTGCCACATCAGCGAAGCTGGCTGGGCTCGGTTGCACAAAGCCAGCTGGTACCAAGACTCCAGTGCTCTCAGGATAATGGCATCTACAGGCTAGTGGCGTGGACCCAAAGGTCTGAAAGTTCGCATTTGTACCGAGCAGAACGGACTTTCTCAGCTACCACTGCTGCCGATCAACACTGAAAGTCTTCTCCTCAGATGGATTCTAATAGTCCTCCTGTATCTGTAGTCACAGCCTGGCTCCCAGTGCCAGCTTTAGCAAGCCTCTGTCCTCTTTAGTACAAGAACTAGCATCTGCTTGCTTCCCAGAGCTCTCTGGCCATAGGGATTTGCACACATCTGTTCCTACCTGCTTTCACATTTATCTGCCTCTGGCCTTGCCATTCTCTAGAAGACCACACATCCACCTCACGAACACCATGTTCCTATTTAAGGGTGTACTCACACATGCACACTTTTAAACATCCCGAGGAACCAGGCCAGCAAGATGGCTCAGGAGGCGAAAGCATTTGCCTTCAACAAGGTTCGTGACTTTAGTTTCAATCCCCAGACCCACACAGTGAAGAAGAGAACTGACTCCTAAAAGTTGTCCTCTGATTTTCACGTGTGTGTAGAGGCATGTGCATGCACACACATAAATAAAATATAATACTTTTTAATTTCTAAGAAGTTTACTAAAATTATTAGAATCAGTGAATGAATTCATCAGGGTCATGCAAGATCAATATCCAAAATAATGATATTTCTATATACTATTATTTATTTATTTATTTATTTATTTATTTATTTATTTATTTATAATTGTGTGTCCCTGTGAAGGCCAAAGGAGGGCTTCAGATCCCCTGGAGGTAGCGTTATAGGCATTTGTGAACCACCTTATGTGAGTACTAAGAACCAAGCTCTTATTCTCTACAAGAGCAGTACAAAGGCCCTAACTGCTGAGTCTTCTCTCCAGCCCCTTCTACCTGCTTTTAATGAGTAAACTAAAAATGAAATGGAGAAAGCAACCCCATTTCCAATAGCATCCATACTATTAATAAAATACTAGAAATAAACCAACAAAAGAAGCATAGACGTTCTGCCCTGAAGATACAAGGTATTGGTGAAAGAGATTAACGAGCATCTCAACAAACGGCAGAACGCCCCGTGTTCATGGACCGGAAGGCTTCCTTTGTAACAACGAGACTACTCCCCATGTTGACCTATCCATCCAACAGTGCTGATCTTAGCTGACGTCTTTGTGGACACTGACAGTCAACCAATCCTAAACTACATATGGAATTGCAAGACATCCCAAGTCATCCAGACAACTCTGAAGAGAACAAAGTTAGAAGACACATATATGCTCTCTGGTTTCAAACATACTAACAGCCAAGACGGTGTGGCTTAAAGACAGACACAGATCAATAGCACAGAATTGAGAATCTCTGAATACACTTGCTCATCTACAGTCAATTGATTTGGATGCGAGTGCTAAGACTATCCAATGCTTTTTCTTTTTTTTTTTTTTTTTTTTTTTTTTAAAGATTTATTTATTTATTATGAATACAGCATGTATGACTGCCCGCCAGAAGAGGGCACCAGATCTCATTACAGATGGTTGTGAGCCACCATGTGGTTGCTGGGAATTGAACTCAGGACCTCTGGAAGAGCAGTCAGTGCTCTTAACCTCTGAGCCATCTCTCCAGCCCCCCAATGCTTTTTCAAAACGTCCTGCTGGGGTTAGGAACATAGAGTACCAGAAACAAGAAGTTCTTTTTTCCCACACTGCTTGCCGAGGAAGGAAGATCCCAACCTATGATCATTAATAAGGTGTAAAACGACTTAACACTGCATTTAAGAAGCAAATAAACATAAGTGATGAAAATCCGAATACCAAAACACTCCAGTGCTATGAACTCTCACTAGACAAAAGCAAAATAAACTAAGATGTCTGGGAACTTGAGACTTCAGTGGGGAGACAGAGAGTCCTCTTCCCTTTCTGTCATAGGAGTTAGGGACATTAGTATGAAAGATGCCAGCAGCCAAAACACCCAGGTGATGCTCAAAGACCAGTGAGTGTCCTCTCCCAAACCCTCCTCTGAGGCCTTTGTTTTCTAGAAACCAGACACGGTCATTTCCTTCATCCTACTTTTAGACCAAGAAGCCACAGAAGAAGGGCAAAGCTGGTGCTGCCTAGTTGGACAAGGCACGCGTCTTCAACCCGGAGAAGAACACTGCTCTCCCACAGCAAACCCGGCCTTCCTGACTTGGTAGCTCATTATCTCCAGCTCCAAATGATTAATTACAGAGGGTCTTCTGACAGAAAGTGATAAGCTCCAGGTGCAGCAGGCCAAGGGGCCAACGGAGCTGCTGGCACTCTACGCTGATATTCCAGAAGATTGTTCACCTTTATCCAAGGAATCACCCAGCAACCAGCTACATTGCAAGGACAATGTCTGCATTTCCAAGTTTCCTTAAGGGTAAAATGAATTAAACACTACCCATCTCAGTCTTTAGTGGGACTTTGTCAAGAGTAGATAGAAAAGCGGCTTGAAAGCAATGCCATACAATAGGAATACAATACATTATACAAAGCAATGGGATGCAGTTCAACTCCAGAAAGACATTAGAAGAAACTTAACAGGGAAATATAACACAGACTGAGTAATGGGTGATAGTAAAGAATCTTTGTTCACTTTCTTGAGTGTAATAATAGCATCATAGTGATCTAACATTTTCAGGATTGTGTTGATATATGGAGATATATATATATGGATAAAACCATATGATGTCAAGTCTTGCTTTAAAAAACTGAGAAAAGAAAAAAGGGACATAATGTAAGTGGGACAAAATGTTGGGACTAATGAGAAGGACGTAACTATTCATAAGTCTCTCAAGTGCATATTTGAACATCTTCGGCATAAAACAGCTTAAGTAAACAATGTAGAATTTTCTAGGGCATTAGTCAGCTTTCTGATGATTACATCCACAGCCCAGAAAGTCTGTTTCCCTCACAAAGCTCTTCCCAACTAATCATCCAGAGGTCAGAGGGTTAGGGAAGAGGCCAGGAGAGGCTCCCAGCTGAAAAGAAAAAAGATAAATGGAATTGCCCTAGAAGAATATCCAGGAAAGCTTCAGACTGCCAGGCTCCAGCGTGGGCTTCGTCCTTAGAACTGAATTTTATTCTCTGGGTTGCCACTTAATGTGTAAGTGATTTTACTTTTTCACACAAAGGTCACGGGGGCTCCTGGGCTTCACACATTTTGTCATAGGTTTACCAGATGTCCCAAGGACTAGAGAGTAGGATGAGGGAAAGGCTAGAAAGAAGTCATAATTTTCTCCAAGGTAAGAGCAATCCAGTGAGTCCGGCTCTTATGTGTGAAGTGACCCAGAAAGTGAAGGCATCCTCCCTCAAGCCAGTCCTTGGCCAATTAAGTACACAAGACACCACGCATTACTAATTCTCCAAAGATGACAAACGGGCTGACACACAGCAAGCGGTGATGTAAGGGAGGGAGGGCTCCAGCTAAGAGATAGAGGTTCGAGTCCTCAACACTAAACCAGAACCGTCGAACTTAAGCACTTCAATGCGGAAGGGGAAAGTATCCACTGAGCTGATTTGAGCATCTCTTCAACATGGCCTTAGGAGATAAAACTAATTTGGGTGTGTCTGGCGTCGTGCATCTCTCATCTGAACTTGAGGTTTCCTAACCACGTGAGGTAATTCAGTCCCCTACGCCACGCAGCTGCACCCCTCCACCCCTGCAGTCCGTTTTGTTGTGGTTGGTTGATTGGGAGATTTTCAGTATTCTTTGTCGCGGCAGGACAGGGAGTGATGGAGAGAAAGGAATGTTTGCTTCGTTCAATCATTTCTATCGGGGCTGAATAGAGTCACTTTAGCCAGGCCACCACACCCTATGGCTCCAAGACTTGGGGAAGAGGGAGAGCGAGGACACCAGTAAGGAACAGAGTCCCAGAGTCCGAGTAGAACAGAGGGATCTAAAGGTCTGCGTGTTTGTGGTGCAGGTTTTTTCCTACTGCTCAGTCTCTCTCCTGGATAACGGCGGTGTGAGGTTCCCAGGACGACTTGGGAATGAATACTCGGCGCGGGGACCTTTCTCCCGCTCTGTTCATTAATTTCTGTTCGAGCCTTTCTAGCAGGCTGGGTAAAAAACACAGTTGCAAGCTCTGCGCTCTACAGCTGCTGGGCACTAGACCCCACGATGCCCAAAACCACACTCACAGTCACACTTTAGAGTCTTCCCCGCCCCCTCCCCGCCACGAGCTCCGTATATCAAAAGCCAGAACTCCGGCCACCGGCCCAGCCTCCAGACGCCCCTTCCCAACTTTGCACCCTCAAAGGCATCCAGTGTGCGCCCCAAGGTCCCACGCTCTGTCCGGGAGCGCCCAGGGTCCCCAGGAGCAAGCACCCAGCTCCTGTGGTAAATTGACCGCCTTCGGGGACCCTCCCAAGGTGGAACTAGGCGGGGCTGCTGGCATTGGGGGGGCGCGGGGACCTGTCAGCCCGCACGTCCTCCTGCATTCCTGACCGGAGCTGGCCCATGGGAGGAGGAAGAGAGGGGATGGAGTCTGCGTGCTCCCATTAGCCTTCGGGCAGCGAGAGAAAAGGGGGTGACCCGGGTAAGCGCTCTTACTTGGCAGTAGGGCTCCGTGGTGGCCAGGCTGGGACTGGGCTCTCAGCAGTGGCCCCTCTCCATGCCGATCGCCGAGGACCCTCTGAGAAGCGAGGCGAAGCGCGGGCTGCAGCAGGGTACAGTTCTGGGCAGGTTTTCGCCCCCGGGGCTTTTAAAGAGAAACTCGACGCAAACCCCTCCCCCGACCCTCGTTCGCCCCGAAGGCGGCCTCCAGTTTAGCCCGGCCTCCACCCTTTGTTGAACTTCCTCGGCTTATCCCGGGACAGGGAGAGGGGGGGAGTGCGGCCGGGGGAGGGAGGTGGATCTGCAGTGGGTTGGGTCTGGCCGCGCTGGGGACCGCGCGTTCCAGACAGCGCACTCTTCTCCAGAAGATTCTGCACCCTCTAACATCTCCGCCCTGCATTCAGTTCCCCAGGGTATGGTTTACCAGGATTAAGGCTTACGCTGAATCCAGCCCCTTACCTGAAAACTAAAAGTTGAAGTCAGAACTTCCATTCATCTCGCTCCGGTTTCGCGTCCCTTCTCTGGTAGACGATTCTGAACAGCAACCCCAAACTGCTCGCCTTGCAGCCCGAGGATCACATCTGTGCACTGAAGCAAGGCAGAAAAATTGAGACAAGGGCGGGAGAAGAAGCCAGTCTCTGGAATCTGGTTGGGGTTTAAAACTTTATCACAACTGATAAAATTGAAATTACCTACGGGAATAGTGCAGGGCTTCTAAAGGTTCCACAAGCAAGAGGTTAAAAATAAACTAAAAATGATGGGCTGGAGAGATGGCTCAGAGGTTAAGAGCACTGGCTGTTCTTCCAGAGGTCCTGAGTTCAATTCCCAGCAACCACATGGTGGCTCACAACCATCCGTAATGAGATCTGGCTCCCTCTTCTGGCCTGCAGGGGCACATGCAAACAGAACACTGTATACATAATAAGTAAATTTTAAAAAGTAAAATAAAATAAAAATGAATCAAGCTGGTGTAGAGCCCTGTATCTAAATAACGTCCCTCACAAAACTACCTAGTAATTCTGTTTACAAACGAAAATTTTCAAGATAAGGACTGTACCCTAACCAGCTCATAGAGTTTTAATTTGTCAACTTTACTTAAATGCTAAATTTCGCTTAATTTTTAAATCTTGTAAATGGCATCCTTTGAGCAATGCAGTTTAGAGAGTCCCAGGATAATTATGTAGCCGAGGTAAAGGTGCCTAATGAACACCCTTGAATCTAAAGAAAGTGTGTGTGTGTGTGTGTGTGTGTGTGTGTGTGTGTGTGTGTTGGAGGCCAGAAATCAACTTTTGGAGTCTTACTAAATCTCCATATTTTTTTCTTTTTTAAAAAATAAAAATTTTTAAATTATTTGAGAGGTTCGCGCACACATACCATGTATTTTGAGCATAATAACTCCCTGTTCTTCTCCCTAACTCCTCCCAGATCCATTCCCTACCTCCCCAGCTTCATTTTCTCTTTGAAATTTCATTTTGACTCAATGAGCCCAATTGGTGCTGCCCATATGTGTGTGGGTGTGGGGCCTACCAAACAAACCTAAACAAAAATTGGCATTCCCTCCCCCAGCAGCCATCAACTCTCAGCAGCTCCTCAGCTAGGGTTAGGGGCTGAATAACCCTTCCCCGATCCATGCTGGAATGTTGACTGGCCTGGTCTTATGCAGACCTTGTGAAAGCAAACACAGCTGGGCCTGTGGTGTCCAGCAGACACTGCTTCACCCAGCCCTCCTGACCTCTGACTCGGGATCTTTCCGCCCTCTCTTTTTAGATATTCCCTGAGCTTTGGTGAGGAGGGGGTGCGATACAGATATTCCATTTATGGCTGAGCACTCCACAGCTGTTTATTCTCTGCACTGCGACCAATTGTGAGTTTCTGGGTTAACTGTCATACACTGCACAAAGAAGCTTCTCTTGTGGGGTCTAAGAGCTGTACTAATCTACATGTAGAGAGAGATGAATGTCAAGGGCAGTTTGCCATAGCAAAATGATAGTAATAGGTTCACCTCTGGGGTCTATGAGCTCCCCAGTCATGGATTCTTGGCATTATTTATAGTACCAGGTATGTGTTTTCTCCTGTGGAGTGAGCCATAAATCCAACCAGAAAGCAGTTGGTTACTCTCATAACAATTGTACCACTATTACACCCACCTGTGGACATATCTTGCCAGGCCTTGTCATTGGAGTTCTCAGGGTTCACAGCTGGATAAGACTGTTGTTGACTTTTCTCCCCAGGGAGCCTGCACAGGCCTTCCAATACTATGAAGCCAAGCCATCAGAGAGGAAATTTCATTGTCAGTACCAGCTTGAGTCCTCCATGTCTCCTGACTAAAGTGTGTAGTGGCTTCCCATTTCACTGGAGGTCATGTGAGAGACTTTTCCTGGGAAGATACGACACACACACAATACTTGGTGCCCAAACAGGGATCATCAGAACCAAGGAGGAGTTGAGAAGGAGTGGACGCACCACCCCTACAGTGGTTGTTGGGACATCACCTGAATCTGTCCCACTGAGAGTGGAGCATCCCAGGAGGCAGGGCTTCCTTTCTCAGTGTGGCTAAGTGACTCCAGCTGCAGTTCAGGCCAAGAACGTATCAGACCCTGGGTAGGATACAGCCAGGCAGGCCAGAGCTAAACCAAACAGCTTGGGCTGATCCAACTAAGACCACTAGAAGGAGGAAATGTACAGAGGCCCCATGGAAACGCCCCAGGATGAGGATGCCGGACGACCGATACTAATGCTGGGCTCTTTTCCTGCCGTATGAGACCTTGATAACACACTTTTTAAAAAGTCCCTTAGCATTCCAAGACCAGTTCCCATTCACTTGGAATGGGCCTGTCGAGGGCTGTCCCAAGGCTCCTTTCACAGTCTCCTGTTTGTCGTGGAATGACGGCCCAGGACCTTGTTCTACTGTCCTGCCTGACCTCTGTAAAAAGGTTTCATTACACAGATGGCCTGACAATGCTAACCTCTGAGTGCTTTACAGATTTTAAAAAGCATCTAATGTTCAGGGAGTAACTGACACTTGGTCTTCAAAGTTCAGCATGTTGATGCTGTGTCTCCTCTACTGGTCTCATTCTCGGCCTGTTTCCCTGTTGCCAAAGAAGTAGATGCTTGATGTAGTGTTTAAGGAAAACAGATTTTTCAGGGAGCATTTAAAAGACATACAGGTGCACCTAAAGGAATGAGGATGAGGAATATCCATACAAGATGCAAGGGCCTGGCATAGTTGTAAAGTTCTCAGGAGCATTATGGTCTGATGTATATATTATATTATATTATATTTATTATATATAATACATAACCATATATATAATATATATAAACCCTGACTGGGTTACTTTAAGACTTTTACAACAGCCAGTGTCTGTAAATGTAAAAGAGTTTCAGGTATATTTGGATTCCTAGGACATTGGTGGATTTCCATACCCCACCTTACCCAAGTTGTCTGTCTTTTGTATAACTTGACAAAGACGGGTTCTATGTGGGATCAGGACAAAGTGTCAAGAGATGTTTGAGCCAGCTACGATCCTTATAAAACAGGCTAAAGAGTCATGTGCCCCAATACTCTAGTAACAGATCTGAAAATGACACATACATAATTCAACTTGCCCCATAAGGGACTGGCAAACAGATTGTAAGGGGCCTATGCCTATCAGTGAAGGATGCAAATGTGCCCTCGCCTGTGAGACCTCTTACAAGCACTTCTTTGCAAGCGAACAACAGGGAAAGCCACCATCAAGGGTCTCCCCCCAACTGAGTGTTAAGTATGGGGACCCACAGAAAATTGACAAGGACTTGGGTAATCATTTCACCAACCCTGATGTGCAGAACTGGGCTGAAGACAGACAATGTGCAATGGTTCTTCCATCTACCTTACAGGCATACCAGCAGGGGGTTAATTGGAAAAAAATGAATTATTAAATCAGCAAGGGAACTGGAGAGGGCTGAGCAGGCAAGAGTGCTCACTGCCCTCTTGGAGGACCAGAGTTCGGTTCTCAGCACCCACGGCTATAACTCCAGCTCTAGGGAATTAATTCCTCTGACCTCCACCGGCACCTGCACCCACATGTGCATACCTCACACAAACATATAATTAATATTAAATAATAACAGAAAAACATCTAAAGGGCTTAAGCTTAACTGCACAAGTGGGAAGGGGTACTCCGGAGGTTATACGGCTGTTAGATAAAAACCCCAGCACTAAAAGTGGGTTACTTCTATACTTGGCCAGGAAGGCCCCTCAGGCCCCATAAACTATGAAGCATTTTCACTACTGTAAGTTGCGTTCCAGAACCAAACAGAAAGACCCTAGTGATGAAGACACCATATACTTTTGGTTACAGGACATGCGAAAATAAAGCAGGGATTGAGCTGACTTTCATGGCGTCCTATGCAAGTGCTATGTGGACTGCTGCAGGAAGAATGGTCAGTCAGTATCAGTCCTGCTCAGGCACGCATCTTGTGTGTTGCCGTACTGAAATGCCAGGCAAGCTGTCCCTGCTTGGACAGTACTGGCATGACGATAATGGCTACAACCTGCTGTGGGATAATGCAGAGACTTCTGCCTACAACCAACCAGCAGCTTTTTTGACTGGGTTTGAGACTCCACAGCAGGGAGTTCACATCTGGTACTGTAAGCCCAGACAAAACCCTGTGGCTGGGGAGACCATAGGCCTCTTGGGGGATGATTGCTATTATTGACCACACTGTTGCTGTCTGCTGCAATCCATCATGGAAGGAAACTTCAGTTCGCCATGGATGGTATACTGCAGAGACTCATGACCACTGGTGGGTTACTGTCTCGAGTGTTACTTGACGGAGGAGGGCCCTGCCCACTGTGGTGCCATTCCCTAGGCAGGGAGTACAGAGCTGGATAAGAAAGCTAGCCGAGCTTGAGCCTGTGAGTGAGCCAGCAGCTAACAGATTCCTCCGTGGTTTCTGCTTCAAGCTCCTGCTTGAGTTCCCGCCCTGCCCTCCCCAATGACGGATGTCTCCTATACACTGAAATAGCCCTTGCTTTCAATAGTTGCTTTTGGTCAGGATATTTTATCAAAGTAACAGAAAGGAAACTGTAACAGGTGGGGAAGCTCCTGAGACTCAGGAAGTAAACAAACTTCATAAGTCCTGGGACCGAAACTTGCGAAATTTGCAAGATTCAGGAGCCCATGAGCGACCCCCCTCCCGGGCTCCCACATACCCGCCCACTCACCCCCCACTACCCCC